TTCATAAGGACACAGTCACACTGGGTTCGAGGCCCATACTGCTCCACTGTGACCTCATCTTAACTAATTACATCTGCAATGGCCCTATTTCCAAATGAGGTCACATTCTGAGGTCTGGGGATTAGAACTTCAACACATGAATTTTGGGGGGGACACAATTCAACCTAAAACAGAGGTAATATGTGTCGGGGATGGGGTGGGAGAGCCCTCTGGCCAAAGCAAGAACTGAGTGGACAGCCTTGTGGGAGCGTGATAAATCCAGAGAGGTGGGCAGGCCCCAGCTGTAAATACAGATTTTATTGCCCAGGGCACAATTTCTAAAGCAAGGTGTGAGTACCACTAACGGTGGGAGCAAATCTGGAAAGCACTTGAGCAAACTTAATTTTGTCATGTATTTGTTTAAATGGGTAAGGAGAAAATGTAACTAGCACCAGAAACTCATGGGTGTTTTGTTAATGAAAAGGGCATGAATAAGTTGGTAAGTTTTTAAAATTGAACCTATTTTAAGAAAAATATTAATAGCATGGATAGAAAAACCCATATAGATGTGGTAAAAATCCATATGGAGGTGGTATCTGAATGACCAAAGTTTGGGAAGTTGTTTGCTGTGGACTGAATATTTTTGTCTATCCCAAAATTCATCCCAATGTGATGCTATTTGGAGGTGGGGCCTTATGGAGGTGATTAGGGTTGGAGGAGGTCATGAGGGAGGGGCCTCCATGATGGGGTTAGTGCCCTTCTAAGAGGAGACATGAGAGAGATCACAATCACACTCCCTCCACCAAATGAGGACACAGCAAGAAGGCACCCATGGGGCTGGCCGAGTGGCGCGATGGTTAAGAACTGGCTTGGGAAGCCAGAGGGCCCCGGTTCGGATCCCACATATGAGGGCCAGTGACACTGCCCTCTACAGCTGAGATGCTGAACAACAGCTCAACCTGGAGCTGGGCTGCCATGAATCGCCGGCAACAGCGTAGGCTGCAGCCCCTGTGGCACTGGGTTGCCATGGGCTAAAAAAAAAAAAAGAAGAAGGCACCCAGGCACCCATGGAAGAGGGTTCTCACCAGAACCAGACTCTCCTGATGAAGAGACCCTGATTTTGAACTTCTAGACTCCGGGGCGCTGAGAATTCCATTTCTGTTGTTTAAGCTAACCACACTACAGTACTTTGTTATGGCTGCCTGAACAGACCGAGACATTGTTCTGATGTCCAATTTTAAGCAGATTTGCCTCCTTAAAACATGGATCTGGCAGCATGGTGAGAGCTGGATGGGAGAGGAGAATGGAAAAAGAGAATAGTAAGACTCTGGTCCCACTTTTATGGCAGGGTGAGGGCACCATCGGAGTGGGCTTTCCCAGCCCCAGAATCAGCTGTAAGTTGAATCTGGTTCTCCCTCCAAGCCCCATACCCTCCCCTTACCTGGCACCACAGCTAAGCCCCTCACTGGTCCTACTTTCAGGAATTAAGGACAGCTCCTCAGTATGGTGTATAACCTGGGGCCCTGCCTTCCTCTCCGATTTCATCTCCCACAACACACTGTTCACTGTGTCCCAAGTGTAATAACAGCACTCAGAGGAGGCCCATGACTGTCTACTAAGTATGTGGACACTTCTGACTTCTGCGCATTTCTGATTGGGACATTCCTTCAGCTGAACCCTGCCCCATTTGAGTAATTCCTCACACAACACAATCCTTTTATGGAAAGACAGAATGCCAATCCTAAACACAGGGCTTTTTTGTTTTGTTTTGATATATTGAGTTTTAAGTCTTCCTGTTTTCTTTCATGTATATGAATCATATCTTCAAATACCCAGCTTTGATAGGTTAAAGAAAAAAATTATAATTCGAACGAAGAAGAAAATTATTCAATGACACTTGTTAAGGCATGGTAAGGCAGATTTTATTCAAGGGAAGCCATCACAATGGGTGTAGGGACCACTGCAATGGGTAAGGTCCCATTTTTCTTGTAGTGGGGTAGAAAGATCGGACTTAGTTCTGAATACAGCATGGGCAAGTTGGAATGTATAGCCATGGGGCAAGGTGGGTGTCCATGGATGGAAAATCATAAGATCTATCAAGATCAAAAACATCAGCTAAACATCAGGGGTTCTGGCTAATCCGACCTAACAGGATTCTTGCTGAAGGCAGACAGGGTGAGCAGACATCACCTGAGGGTTGTGGGGGATGAGGAACCTGATGAGATATCAAGGGTGATCAGATATAGTGGATGGGAAATTCGAGCTAAACCAACTTATCAGGATTCTTGCTAAAACTGGACAATGCAGAGATGAATGTCCAAGTCCATAAATCGAGGCCTAGTTGAAATTCAGGGGAGCCAGATAGAGTTTGGTTAGGGAGTGAATCTTTGTCACTTATTTATGGCTGCTTTATCAAATAAAATCAAAGGATGTGAGCTATGAATCTACTTTTTTTCATTTTCTTTAGAACTTAAAAGAAATAAGAGTCCTAAAGAAAATCTGAAATTATTAATAAGAATTGGGCAAACCATGGAACCAACCAACTGGAACATCGGCATTTGGAAGCACTCAGTAGACACCCCCTTATTATTCTCATATCCACAATTATCTTGAAACCTATCTTAGGGATCATATATATGGCATCATATATATGTTGGTCTATTTCTGTACAGCTACCTAAATATGTATATAGTCCAAGCAACCCTAAAACACAAGAAAGTCATATTAATTGAGGAAGATACACTTTAAAAATCCTATCACTATACCCTACCTTATTTTCCTAGGCCTTAAAATTGTATACAAAATAAATTCCAAGGTTAAAAAAAAATTTAACAGTGGGTTGGAAACTAGGTCTGGGTATTATTCTAAGCTCTGCCACAGGCATGCAGTTTGTCCTTGGGCAAGTTCCTTAGCTTATCTGTGTCTCGGTTTCATCATTTGCAGAATGCAGGGTAAGGAAGAGTAATCCCTCCCTCTAATTATTATGGCTCAGAAGGCAAGCACATGTCCTTTGGCAAAATGGAATGCCGCTTTCCTAGGAAAGGTGGAAGTCATTACCGGGGTGTTATATCTTAAATAATTAATTAGTATTATCATGGTTTGTACAAAGAAAAATGACTGAACTCTGCAGTGGACCAAGCTTGAAATGAGTTTACAGCATATTTTTACCTTTTTGATCCAAACAAAAAAGTATTGCTTGAACAACTATTGAAATGTTTTTTTGTTTGTTTTTTGTTTTTTTGCCACATCTAATAGATTATAAACTCCTTGCGAGAAGACAGATTCTAAATGTCATTCATATTTCCCATTCATTAATAATTGCTCACTGACTTAATTGAAGGACTTGCTACTTTTTCTCACTATTATGAACATTTCCCAATGTTTTTTATTCACCATTGTACGCAACATGTTTGCTGTATGAATAGATGACTGTTATATGTTTACACCATAAGTTAATTTCCCTTTGTTAGGCACTAGATTTTTAACTTGTTTTACTCATATTAACTAATGCTGCAATGTGCTATCTTATGCATCAATATTTTCCTAGACACCTGGTTACCTACTTACTGATGATTTACTGATTTAGAATTTTGTAAAAGAAAAAAAGCAAAGCAACATACACAAGGAGAAAGAATATATACAAATCAAACTATATGGTTAAAATAGTACTATAAGTAAATATCCATAAACATGTGGACAAAAAAGGGGGGGTTCTGTGGAAAGTAACCCCACAGGGAGATCAGATCACAAATTCCTAACTGGGCAGGAAATGATCGATGGGTAGTCCTGCTCCAGGCTTGTAACTTCCTTAGTGAAAGGTTTTAAACCAGCCCTGTCCATTCTTTTTGTGCATCTAGGTTAACACACCTTAGAAATGCCAGAATACCCCTGGAAGGTATTAACCCTCAAGAAGGCACATAATCTTGTTAACCTGTAATCCAATTCCTCCCCACACCCCCTGCCTTATTTTTCCCACCTCCATGTAATCTTATTTTCCCTCCTTAATTTCAAATGTATAAAGGAAACTGCAAAACTGTTATTATGAGGAGCATTTGAGATCTTGCTCCCTGGCACATGTCAGCAATTGGGCTCAAACTCTTGTAAAAATTCTCTACAGGTTTGGAAGTTTCTCACAGCGACAAAGTTAGTGGTGGTTATTCCTCCATAGTGAAATTGTTTATGATACATGTATTACGCATAATCAGAAAAGATCTTATTTTAAAAAAATGATTCTTGGTCATTAAAGGAGAATTTCGTGTTTATTTTCTTGCGTACATTGATGTTGCTTTCTCAGTATTTTTGCTGTGTGTTCTCCAAATGTGTAGCCCACCTCCCCAACTATCACGCACTCAAATTAGGTCAGAAAGCGGGATCCTCGCTCAGCAAAGCGCCGGGACTGGAGTCTCAGATTAAGGAGCAGCCGATTCCCCCAGAGGATTAATCTGAATTACAGGCACGCGCCCGAAAACCCCGGGGCACCCGGCATCCTGCGTGGGGGTAGATCACAAAACCGCAAACCTGAGGCTCCGGGGCGCTTTTAATTAAGGGGAAGGGGCTTCTCCCCTGAGTTCTCCGCCGCTGGGCCGCCCCCGCGGGATGGTCGGGACACGACTGGGATCTGGGCAAGGTCGTGGCCCGCCCGCCCAGGGAATTGCTTCGGCAAGGCCCCCCGGCTCCAAGTCCGGCCTTCAGCCCAGCGGCCCCAAGCGTTTGCCCCAGGCGCAGTCTCGCCAGGCCCCGCCCCCTGCTCCCGGGCCCCATCCCCTGCTGCTGGCTCCACCCCGGCCTCCTCGGCACTGCCTTCAGCTCCTGGCTTCATCCCCTGCTCCCGGCACGCCCTCAGCCCCAGCCGCTCCAGACGACTGCCGCAATTCCGGCCCCGCCAGGCCCCGCCCCCACTGCTCTAGGCTTCCCTCCAGACCTCCCTCCAGACCCCCGGTCTCCCGGCGCCGGCCTCAGGCCCGGCCGCTATAGGCCCCGCCCCGTCCCGCCCCAGCCTAGTCTTTAGGACCGCTCGCAGCAGGCCCCGCCCCCGATCCCGCCCCCCGGCGCGCGCTCTGTTCGGCAGCCGGTGGGACGCGGCGGCGACGGTGGTGGCGCTGCTCTAGCTCCTTTGTGCTCGGGTGGCGGCGGCCTCTCGTGTCCTCACCGCACGTTCTCTCTGCCCGCCAGTTCGCGCTCTTCGGTGACGGACCATGGCGGCGGGAGTGGGCCCGGGCGTGGAAGCCGGCTTCTCGAGCGAGGAGCTGTTGTCGCTCCGCTTCCCGCTGCACCGCGCCTGCCGCGACGGGGACCTGGCCGCGCTCTGCTCGCTGCTGCAGCAGACGCCGCGCGACCATCTGGCCGCCGAGGACTCCTTCTACGGCTGGACACCGGTGCACTGGGCCGCGCACTTCGGCAAGGTGGGCTCGAGCACTTTAAGGCGCCATTTTCCGCGGCTTTTCTCTGGGGGTCGGGGAAGCTGGGGGCTGAGGCGCAGGGGGCGCGGGGCGTGCCGGGAGCGCGGGCGGAATTGGGGTTAGCAGCGATGGTGTCCCGAGGGTTTCGGGGCGCAAATTCCGCGGCGCAGGCGGTCGGGACCCCCAGAGGAACCCAGGGGGTGCCGGGAGCGCGGAGCGGAAGCGGGCCCAGCGGCGCCCCGAGGGGCTTGGGGCGCATGTGCGGCGGCCTAACTTTCAAACGGGTGGCCTCCCAGAGGCGCCGGTTTCCCCGAGGCTCCGCCCCTGGCCGAGTGAGGATTAGTGCCTGCGGTCGGGCGGGAGGTTCGCGCCCACCCTCGGTCGCCTATGCTGAGGGACCGGGCTTCCCGCGGCTGGCCGACCGACTTGGGTGATGGTGAGGAGATGAGGCCTTCAGGGTGGCGCGCGGGCTGCCCGAGTCCCAGTGGCTCTGGGGAAAGTCGCAGGGCGGCGGGCTCGCGGAGGCCCTATGCAATTGCGGGGGACGCTGTGTGACTGCTGGGCCTAGGAGGACTTTTCGTTTGTTCCCTCTCGGACACCTGCAGACACCCGTTGGAGGATTACAGGCACTGAGCGAAACAGCGCGAAATGCGGGTGATCGGTGGGTGGGGTCAGCTTCCCTAAATGCCGAGGGTTGCTGGAGCCGGAGGGGTTCTGCGCGTCTGTGGCCGTGGGAACCCCAGCCTCCTTGCCTCTCCCGAGGCGCGGGCAGCTACACTGTTAGGTGAAGGTTGTATTTCATATGATTATGGTGGTGGGAATAACCTAATTAAATTGTGAAGCCATCAGACTGTTGTGTAAGATGAATAGTGACTCAGAAAAAAATGCTTTTAGGGGATTTTGTGTAAAATGTTGTTTGTATGCTTTTGAGACTCTTAAGTTTGCCCAGATAGAGTAAAATCAGTTATGGTTGTGCTGTCTTGCATCTAAATTACTGTAAAGGTGTTAAATTAGGTAGAATTATCTTTTTGTGGAGCCTTTATATTACCTTTCTCTGTATCATTTTTAAAAGAACAGTGCTGCTTTAAAATTTTAGGTTAGATAACATTTTCCTCTACTATGCAGTAAATGGAGTTATTTATTTAGTCAGAGAAGTAGTCAAAGTGAGATTCACGGCGCATTTCAGAAGTGACTAATGATTAAGATTTATATACCAAAATTTAGAGACATTTAAAAATGTTTTTCTTCTGAAATGGTAAGATTAGGTTGAAATAGAGAAATGTTTTTGCAGAAATATATGCAGGATAACGTGAAAGAAATTTCATTTCAAGAAGATCTGAACATTTTAATATTTTTAATACCAGCTGATGAAATTGCTCTGTTTTGCTCTTATTGGTGCTGCGTTCACAATACAGTTGTGTCTTTTATGAAACAGTTTCTGATTCCCCTCATAAAATGGAAAAATCGGAGGTTTACTTTTCTGAAAGAAATGAAAGGGAGTTATGACAGTGGAGGTGAGGCAAGTAAGTTAATTACCCATGGGCTGTGAGATCCCATGGCACCAGTGTCTAGAGTTGTGCTACTATAGTAGTTGAAAATGAGCCTCCATGGGAAATCAGTCTCTTAAGGAACAAAAGTTAGAACCCTCTTTCCTGCCCTTCTCCCTTTAGCCTTGAATGTAGATTTCCCAAGGCAATCAGTAATCTGAGGCATTATTTCCCTCTGGAGTGCATCTTGTTCTGTTGTTTACTCTCAAAGCATTGGTTCTCAACATTTTTTGTCCCTATGTGTTTTGGGGAAAGACACCCTTGGAACAGGCAAGGACAGCTTTTTTGAAAAGGCTTTGATGTTGATTCGGATCCTTGGTTGAAAATGACACAGTATTTATTGTATGACACTTGAGTACATTCTGTAGAATGCTTAAACCTCATCACAAGTGGTCATTTATAATACTTATTTACCAACCCAAGGGTGCCTTCAGGTATCTCGAGGAATTAATGGTCATAACTGCTTTACTGTGCTTAATATGGTGAATTTCATGTGTATTTTATGATGATTAAAAATAAAACCAACTTTTTGAAAATCTCTACTTTTATAGAACATGAGTAGTAGATTAATCTCAGAGGCCAAATGTCGTAGAAGTAGTTATTTTAGTATTTTTAACTGTCATTAATCATGCCTGTATAGTCTTAGATACAGAAAGGGCCATAGAAAGCATCATTCAGTCTGTGAGAAAAAGCTGTTAGTGCAGACATTAGGCCAGGATTCAGGGTTCCAGGTTCCCAATGCAGCCCCTGCCCCTTGCAAACAGCTTCCCTCCTTTTATATACATTTAAGCCTACACTGTTCTTGGCCTGTGCAAGAGCCAACTTAGCATTTAGCACAGCAGTTCTCAACCTGTGGGTTGCGACCCCTTTGGAGGTCGAACGACCCTTTCACAGGGGTCGCCTAAGACCATCGGAAAACAAAAAGATACTTACATTACGATTCATAACAGTAGCAAAATTACAGTTACAGAGTAGCAACGAAAATAATTTTATGGTTGGGGGTTACCACAACATGAGGAACTGTATTAAGGGGTCGCGGCATTAGGAAGGTTGAGAACCGCTGATTTAGCATATTATGAACTATTCCCAACTTTCAAGCTTGTGTTCCTAGAAATGTGCCAGTTGTACACAAGTTTTTTACAAGGCTTATTTGTTACTGGAGGATGAAACATTATTTAAAATCTCTAATTACACCTTGTGTATTGAACAGGATCTTTCCAGAATTCCAAACCCAATTCCTAAATTGAACCAATAGTTAACCAATTTAAGTCCAGGGGCCTCTCAGTTGATTTTCAGATTGACTGCTTTGGGCATGCCAAGTGATTTTCATCCTTGTTTCATTTTTGTTGGATTTGACACCTGTTCATCTTAACACTAATATTAGCACTTTGATTTTTCACTAAGTACATTAATACAGGCAATATATAAAAATATACCAAGTTGTCTCTATCAGCCGTTGCTCCCAGATTGAAGTTCCTTGAAGACAGAGATCAGGTTTTAAATCAGTGTACTCCCAACTGTGAGAGTTCATCTCACAAAAATGTTGATTGCAGCGATCTGGCCTTTGCAAGGACAGGCTTAAGTTGCCAAAAGAGGATAAGAGACCTAGGGTGAGATGGGCATATAGCCGTATGTTCTTCATTTGAGATCTGTCCTCTGGAAGAGAAAGATTGTTGGCAGTTAGAGCTCTTTCCCTAACTGCGTTGCACTTCGTGAGGGGAAACGGAGCAGTCTGGGATCCAGGATCTGAGGACACACCGGGTGGAACTGTGTAAGTCTTTGAGAAGCAGGCCTTTATATATGGTAGGCACTTGCTAAATGCTTGTTGAGTGTGATGAATTCTTTTACCCAGAGGCTAGTATAATATCAGTACCTGGCTGCAAAATCATGTCTTGACTCTCCTGTCTTCCTTTTAGACACCTGCTAGGGCAGAGTTCAGCTATGCTCTAGGCCTTTTTTACATTGGGTTGTTGTTTTTTTGGTGTGTTTTTTTCCCTATACAATTTAAAAAATCTAAGTCTTGCCCTCTCACTTACTCTACACATCTTTTCCCTAAGAAAATAATCTGGATGGTGGGCCTCAATTGGGTATTCATCAAATGCATAGTATAAAGCTGTAGAGTCCAGTTGTGTGGACTACAGGAAATAGCCTTTGACTATGAACAGTTTACTGTGGCTACACAAACTTCTTTTAACCTGCCAACCACTTTTAAAATTTTTATGCTTTAGAATAGTATGTGAAAGTGGCAAAACCTAGTTTCGACAGAAGTCTGAATAATGCAATATAGTCTTTATTTTGTCTTTTTCAACTGTAAGAAAAACAAAATATTTAAATTTATGTAGAGTCAGTCTTTTTGACTTTATATTTTTATGTACCAACTTTTTTATAAGAAAAAATTTTCTTTCAAATGCCTTTTAAAATTTGTGTGATGTTGTGAAGGAATGACTTACTTTGTTCCTTTAAACAGAAAATTAGTAACAAAGAATGCCACTTATCTCCATTATAGACTTTAGGTTATTTGTGTGATATTTAATAGTATACCAATATTTATGCATGTTTCATCCCTTCTCCTGCTGTTTTGAAGTTGGAGTGCTTAATACAGTTGGTCAGAGCTGGAGCCACGCTTGATGTCTCCACTACGCGTTATGCACAGACCCCAGCCCATATTGCTGCTTTCGGGGGACATCCTCAGTGCCTCATCTGGTTGATTCAAGCAGGAGCCAGCATTAATACACCGGTAAGCAAATACCAGTGATTGACTTGGGTTGTTTTGTTTTCTTTTTCCAGTTATAATTACATGGTGTTGAGTTTTAAATTGAGGCCTTCGAGTTTGATGTTTTTACCTGTGGTCTAACTGGAATTTATGTTTATTGAGTGAACTTGTGGACAATAGGGCCTTTACATAGCAATGCTTCCTGTTTATAGAGTACCTGTTAGTGACTTACTGTGATCCAGAGTTACCCAAGGTGATTTGCCCAAGGTTACACACAGCTGGTAACTGAAACCTGGCCTCGAGCCCAGGTTTCCTGGCTCCCCTGCTCACAGCTGCCTTAGCTTCATTTCTACCGATAATTGTGAAAACATATCCATTCTAGCAAAAGAATGGCTATTAAGTCCTCTCTGGTTAAGTTAGCCTTAGCAGATTGACCAATATGAATTAATATTGCTTCAGATACAAGTTGGGGGTGATGACTAGATGCAGGTAAGTAGCCAAGTGTCATGTAGGAAGTGACTCCTGGACACCAAAATGCAAGGATTTTGTATTCAAGCATATAGACATGAACATGAGAGTGCCAGTTTTTTCTTGTGTTTTCAGTATTCCTTTCACTTAAGGCGGGGGGGGGGGCGGGGGGCACAAGAAGAGTGCTTAGCTTATTGGGAACTTGCTTGCATGGACAGGCTTTTGGTTGTAAGAGACTCCACAGATAGTCTGAAAGCAGCATACCCTGACTTAGCACCCTGCCCCAGGATAGATTTGTCTAAGGGACTTGTTGCCACAAGCTTTGTAGCTATTCTTTATACCTTTCTACTTTTCTCTTTTCCCTTTATCCTATTTTTATATGCTTTTTCTAATAATCATGAAGGGCCTACTATGTGCAAAGGAACTTTATTTCCTCTTTCTGCTTTTTCTGCTAAGATTCATCCTTTGATTGATAACCAAGTAGAAAGTAGTTGCCAGCCCCTCTCCTAAAGATAACTCAGCTACCCCACCTACAAAGCACATTTTTGAGGAAAGGTATTTTAGCAGTGACTTAAGTGGGAGAGTGGAGCAAGCGATAGAAGGGTAATTTTTCTTCATAATAGACTTAGTAGAGAGGATAGTAAAGGGGAGAGCCCTGGATTTTGGGTCTGTTTCTGTTACTAAGCTAGAACTCAGGAGTTGACATAATATTTAGGCTTGTGCTACTCCTTTCTCTTCCCTCGGCCTCCACGCATGGATGCATTTATGTGTACAGACTTCTCTATAGCCTTGTTACTATTATCCACCTATTTAGGAGTCATGAACTGGCGACTGTAACCATTGTTGCATAGATATTGCCTATCTCTCTCAATTAGGGTCATTCCTGGTCCTGCGTTCTCCTCTCCTCTATCCCAATAGAAAGGGCTCTGGGGCTTGATTCCACACTCGCTTTCTCATCTCTCTGGCCTTGGGCAAGTCATTTTCTTGGTCTGTGGCTCAGTGTCCTTATCAATAAAATTTAGATAATTCATGAAGAGCAGTAATTGATATTTAGTATAATATGGAATTTACAGAATATTCTGTATGTTAGCTTTCACTAAATTGTTACATAGCATCTAATTGACAGCGAAAGAAATTGTCTAGTGCTAGGGGCTGGCCGAGTGGCTCAGTTGGTTAAGAGCTTGCTCAAGAGTTTGAGCTCTGAGCAACAGCAGTTCGAGTCCAGCCCGAGCTGAACAGCCGCTGAGCTGCCAACAGGTAGCAGGATGGCTCAGCTAAAAAAAAAAAAAAAGAAAAAAAGAAAAAAAGAAATTGTCTAGTGCTTCTTTTCAGACCTTTTTAAATCTAGAAGCCCCTTTTTCTTATAATGTTTTTAGCAGCTCAGTATTTTCCACAGATAAAAAGGTTTGCCCCCCTCCCTTCCTCTGAGCTGCACCGTGTGGAAATCTCTCCTGAACTCTGCTCCCAGGGCAAGAGTTCCCAGATCCCACCCTCCTCAACCCTCCCTGTGTTTTAAATGCCCACCTGGCTCAATATCTCCAAGTCCTCTCCATATGTGAGGGTGTCGCTCGGGTTTCCTAAGCATCCTGGCATTGCTCATGAAAGGATCTCAGTTGGCTGTGGTCTCATGAGCTTCAGTCTGAATCTCAGATGTCATCTTGCTCTGTTAGGTAATGGTTGAACTGCTGTGACAGGCACCCAGTGACCCTGAAGTCCCAGTAGCCCTTTTGTTGGCTCTTGCAACACACTGTTGACTCATCTTGAGGTAGACGGTTTTTCTCATTTCCCAGATAAACTGTTAACAAAGCCAGATCTAGGTTTTTCTTACGCTTTTTTGTTTGTGTGAATGTAATTTTTTTGAACCTAAGACAGCATTTCTTAATATAACATTTGGTTAGTTTTAACACATCTTCTAGTTTTAAAGTCTTTTGGCCTGTTAGTTACTAACTGTTGTAAGTTTGTTTTCCTCAAGCTTAATGGACACTTTCTCTGCCATCTCTGAGGTTAGCATAAGGGGTTTTGGAAACTTAGATGTACTGTCTAGAGGCTCAGTGTTCTAAGTTTACAAAAAGAGGGAGAGAAGTTAGTTTTCAAGTGATTTATTTTTGTTATAGTGACTACCCATGGGCATTTCTTTTTGTGTTTGCAAGTCATCTCTTTAATACCCTTTCCAGAATTTTACTGGCATTTGATGTCTTTATAGTTTCTTGTAACTACATTAGAAACGAGATTTTTCTTAAAATTCAGGGTGACTTGTCTGTCTTCAGATTTCTGGTAACCTCTCCCACTTTATTATTCAGTTTGCCAACAGTAGTTCTAGAATTATAATACAAACTATTTGGTACTTTTAAAATGTGACTGGTTTAAACTTGAGATGTGAGTAACTTTTAAATGGCTCTTTACTCTTACTCTCTTGGCTTCAGTTTTCTTCTAATAGTGTTTATTCTACCCTTCCCGGCTTAAAGATGTTCTTGTATAACACAAAACAGGAGCAGGGTAGTTTTGCTTTTCCTGTCACCTGTTACTGTCCCACCATCTACTTGAAACAGTAGCAAAACCCTTTATTTTATTCCAAAGATCACTATAGAAAACCTTTTTTTCTTCTTGAGAGTTTTGTTTTTGTTTTTTGGGTTTTTTTTGTTTGTTTGTTTGTTTTTTGCGAAACCTCATCTAAATCTCAGTTCTACTTCTGGTAATACTCATGTAATTTTTTTTTTTTTTTTAAGATTTTTATTGAGGTATTGGGGGAAGGGGAACAGACAAGTTGCTGTCGTTTTGTTCTTCAGTCTAGTTGTGGAGGATGTTGCTTCACTGGCCCAAGTTGGCACCATCATTATGCTCTTCCCGGGCGAGGCAGATCAGTCGCCGGCTTCTGGACGGCCGCTCACACTGGCTGCTGGCTACATACAGTAGCCCATGGCAATCCACTGCCACAGGGGCTGCAGCCTACACCATCGGCGACCCACGGCAGCCCAGCTCCAGGTTGAGCTGTTGTTCAGCATCTTAGCTGTGGAGGGCAGTGTCACTGGCCCTCATATGTGGGATCTGAACCGGGGCCCTCTGGCGTCCCAAGCCAGTTCTTAACCATCTTGCCACTTGGCTGGCCCCCTCATATGTAATTTTTATTTGTCCTCACTATGTACCTCTTCTGACCCCTCCCCCATTTGGGGGAAAGATGAGTGGTAGGTTTTTGTTTTCTAAAAAATCTGAGTTCACTAGATCCCTAGATAGCCACATGGTTTTTTGTTTGTTTCTTTAAAAATGGGATTATTCTGTTTAGAACTTTTGAGTGTATTTTTAAATAAATGTTCACACTTTTCCCTCCACTAAGCAGTCAACTTTTTCATATTATATTTTTCTATAAAATAATCTACCACTCCTTTTATTTTAGCCCTCACCTCAGTTTTTCCCCCTGTGAGTTAACATGCATTCGTGAAGGAGCTAAAATATTGATGGCATTTGTGAACTGTTTTCCTAAGTACCACACACTTTGAGCAGTTGTCCCACTCCTGCTTTATATCTTTGTCCCTTAATTATGTGGTAGTTTTCTTCTGCCAAGTTCAGCTTCCAGTTCAAGTGTGATTGATTCAGGAACTGTTGCTGCTTAGCTACTCGGAATTTCTCAGGCAAAAGGCCCTAAATCAATTTTCTAGCAGAAATGACTTCCTTCTCCTGAATGCTTTTTCTTTCTTTACCTCTTACTCACCTGAGAGCTTATGAATGAAACTGTATTTCACATTTTTTTCCATTCACAGAGGGGTAAACTACATCTTCTTTTGGATGATTGCATTAGTCTTCAAAGTCCTTTCCCTGAGTCTGCTGACTTCCTCTGTCTCCTAGTCTCCTAAGACGCACATGCTGTCACTACTGGAGGCCCCAGGAATGCGGTGGTTTATGGTCTATGTTAATTATTTACTTTAAAATGTGGAGGTCTTGTTGGATCTGAGTATTTGCGTGTTGCTTTTTGTTGTAGGACTGTGAGGGCGAGACTCCCATTCACAAGGCAGCTCGCTCTGGGAGCCTAGACTGCATCAGTGCCCTGGTGGCTAACGGGGCTCACATCCAGTAAGTGTCTTTGTTTATTTTTCCCAGCCAAGATGTAGTCAAGGGTGTAGAGACAGCATTTAGAGCTTTGTTTTTAATATTAGTAATATAATTTTGCTTTTTAGATCAGCTAGTGTTAGTGAGCAAAATTGTTGTGTGGGTTAAATTGACCACTAGCAGAAGGAGCTTTAATTTCACAGCTCTATCAGAATTCTTGCCATGAGAGAGAGCATAGTAGGATGAAAAGAACAGTTAACGAATTAAATTTGGAACCTGGCATCATTGACTTTGCCACTAACTGGTTGCATCACCATGGGCAAGTCTTCAGACTTTTTTGCCAAGTTTTAATCTTGAAATGAGGGCCTTTGATTGGATTAGAATATTTTTTCAGGCCTCAGGTGCGTGCAAAAAAATTCTGCGATTAGCTTTTCTAAATTTTTATCTCCTCATCTTTTAGCAGATGTGAGAAAATTATGTTTTAAAGCCTATTTTGACTTAATGATTTATAACTCTTTGTAAAATGTAAATTTATACGTTAAATACTTCAAACTCATTTGAGCTTTTGATACTGATGGCATTATTTTAGCATATCCTTGTTTTAGTCCAGTTTACATCAACTAGCTTATTTATAGTTTAGTAGAACAATATTAATATTTAAGCGTATTAATTAAAACGTTATTTTGTATACAAATCATTAGCTAGCCATGGCATTGTACAATTTATTTTAGGTATTAAATTCATTTGTATTAACTTTCTCTTAAAGATTTATATTATAAAAATTTTTCTTCTGCAGTTCACAGCATTAACAAAATGGATGCGGTTTTCACCCTTAAATGTTGAGTGTAAGCTATAGAGCTGGAATAACCAAAATAACTATGATATAATATCAAGTTTTTTGTTTTACCTTGAGTGTCTTGAATATTTCATAAACATTAATTACAAACCACTTTAATTGGAAATGTGAAATTTTAGACTTTGGGAGAAATAAACCCCACAGAACTAACTTAGTTTAACCCTTTGGTTTCCACTTCATTGTTTTGACTCTGTATATAATAAATATTGAAAATAGATCCTGGACAGCAAAACCATATACGTTAATGCAAGGCCTATCTAATACCAGGGGCTGTCATTAGGCTCTTAGTATCTTAGCTTCTGTTTTATTAAGTATTACTGTTAAGATTAGTCATTAGTTTGGGCTTGGATCATTTACTTATGTAGCAATTTAGTATTATAAATATGACCTGATTAACTGTTACATTGCAGGGAACCGTGTGACTTCATATGTAGTTATGACTTAAGGTAATGTAAAAACAATTGAATATTATACAATGTCAAACACATTGAGATGATTCTCAATGAATTGCTTTAAAGCAAAGATATATATGTGCAGTTTTCTTAACTGTATTTAGATTAAAAACTCAAATCTTTAATAACAGAAGCTTTGATTATAAAATACAGAGTCATATAAAATAATCAATTAAATCACCTAATTGCCATTTATTGAAATAATACTTAGAAATTGATCTTTTTAATGACTTATTTTTCAGTAATATTTAAACAGTACTCTTAATTGGTCCTGAACATTTTATTACTAAGATGCGAGTTTTATTCATTTTAATGGATAGCTTAATCCTTTAAGCCAGTAAATATCTATTGCTATGTCCTTTTAATAGGTGTCTTTTTAAAATGAGATCATTTTATTTACAATTCTGTCCTTGGTTACAGGACCCTCCAGTGTCTCTTTTCCACCAAGTGTGACTGAGCATGGCCTCGAGTGCCAGTCTGTTTTTCCTTCTCAGTATAAGAGCCACTCCCTCGAGACCCTGCATTATGGTGATTTCCCTTGACTGAACTTTGAGATTACTTTGTAGAAGTATTTAGCCTGAGCCACCTAGCCAAAAGTCACTCTTAAAATTATAAGTCTTTGGCCTGGAGATGGAGCACATGTAATCATTATTTATTGCAATTGTATATTGTGTTATTTATTTAGTTTTAACATCTAGATAAAATGTCAGTTTTGCCAGTAAGCTAAATTGTAAATTGGTTTTTTGTATCTGTGTTTAACAGTTTTAGTCTACCAACAAATAATAGTTTGATTCCCCCAAATTATGACACTTAAATCTATTTTACTTGTTTCCTATAATGCTGCTCATATGGTAAAGTGCAGTCCTAGCAAATGAATGCCTTTTTCTTTTTTTAAAGAGGACCAGGGGGCACATAATTTACTTAAAGTTATTTTTTTCCAGTTCAGAATGGGCCAAATTAGTAATTCTTCCTATTACATGCTATAATACTTAGGAGATAATATAAATTTTTCCTTTTCCCGTGAATAGATTAAAAACTGTCTCATATGAGTATTTTATCACACTTGGTGGTATTTAATAATTTTGTTATTTATTCCTATTTTGCTTTTTATATATCTGCTGCATAAAGTGGCCAAACCTTAAGTTGCTGCTTTTTGGTCATTGGGTAGATAATGGTGAGGGCAAGTGTGCCACACATCTGTGGGTAGAATGGTTTGTTATATAACTTAACTTGTCAATGTAGGCTGCATCTGTAAGATAACGCATGTCAACTGCTGTGCATCGTATTACATTTTCTAGCACCACACGTGAGTATATTAATGGAGTTTTGGTTTTTTTTTTCCCTCTTACTTTACACCTTGAGTTTTGGTGCCAAGTTTTCTTTTTCACGTGAGGTTTTATTTCTACTTATATGATGGTCATTTTATTATTTGCCATTGTTTACATCTAAAACTAAGAATACACAAGATGAAATGTCAGTTCTGTGACCAGAATAAATGTTTGTGTACTTTAAATGATCTGAAATTCTACAGATGCTTCACCTCATTTTTTCTCAAGTATGTCAAGTGTGGAGTTTTTGTTAAGTTAAATTGTCATCATCCTTAATGTTCTTGTATGGAAGTTCAGTTTTTCATTGCAGCCAACATTTGAATGTTGCTTGCTTCACACTTAGGATTTCTGATTGGAAGATGGGGATATACTAATGGAAAAGTTGTGGCCTCATTTTTCTTTTGGTAACACTATAAGATTGTTTTAATGTGATTTCAGAAAAGGGTTTTGAAAATTTGCTATCTGCTGACAGTTAAGAAAGTATTTTTACTACTAACATTGTAAAGTGCAGATTTTGAGCCTTGGATTATCTTTTTTTAGTATTTTGGCACCAATTCATTTTGGTTACTTTGTATTTTCTTGAGAGATTAAAGTGGAGAATGTTTCCGTATCAACCAAATATTAAAGTAGGCTTTTTTATGCCTCAGAGTAAAAATAAAGAGATTTAGTGGGACTTAGAGTGAAACCAGAATTGCTTGTATCAGGCAAATTTGCTAGTCCATTTTAATACCACATTATACAGGTGCCCATGTTTAATTAAGTTATGACAAAGTCTCAGCTTTCTATAGGAGAATATTTCTGTAGAAGCCATTAATTCTGTGGTAACCAGATATTTAAATAGGCTATATATATTTTAACTTAATTATTTTTATCCCAAGAACTTAACTGATCATCAGATAGCTAGAGAAGCATCTATAGCCTTATATAAACAAGTTAAGTGACTCACTCTAAAGATATCTTTCTTACCTAATTTAGAAAACAGGCACAGTTGGCTATAATAACAAAAGTCTAAAATGTGATCTGAATAGACTAATGTTGGAAAAACATTGTTAAATTTTTAGGAATTTTTCGTTGAAACACGGAGTTCTTTTAGTTTGGTTCATAATTGGTGGCCATGTTTGTAACCCACCTTTGTTTGTTTACTCATAGAGCCCTGTCTGGAAGCAAAATTTTCATTACGGAAAACCATGTGATGAGTGTGTTTTTAATATTAGTTCAAGACATTTGTTTGCAGCTTTTGCCCGTGGCAAAATGTAACCCAAATTTACTTTATTAGCCATTCGTTCATGTTTGAAATTTGTAGTTTCTTTTCATTTGTTCACTTTTTTGCCCTTCAGAATAATATTCCAACTATGAAATATATTAGAATTATAACTGAATTAGCAGTTTCTGATTTTGGATCCTCTGCATTCCCGTCATCCTTATCTCCTAGTGTTAACCTCCCTTACTTAATTGTCACTGTAGCAGACTTGTCTGATCTTCCTATTTCCTGACTCCTTTTTCCTTTTATTAAAGTGTTAAAGCAAGGTAGAGGAATTACTTCATGAAATAGTTGTTCAAATTATGCCTGCTGGGCAGGAGCAGATGGTAGACTGATGATATTCCAGAGTTGTTGACAAATTTAGTTTAGAATTTTGACTATTTTTCATGCTTGAATAATAACATAGGTTTTAACATTTGTTTAACTACGGTTTTCATAAATCGTGCTTTCAAATAAAACCTGTGATTTCTAAATCCACATTTTTTTCCTTTGCTAAATTATAGTGGGAATGTGTTAAAACATTTCATTAGACTGTGTGAATGGTGCACTTATATTTTAATGTATGCAAACATAATTGGGGTTCAGTTGCAGTATAAAACTATCCTCACTAATGTTGAACTTGAAACGAAAACTTGGCACCAAATTTATACAGGTAGAAACTTTAAAAAATAGTTTCTTCCTATTGTTACCTAATGAATATATTTAAGAAAGTCTTCATAATTATTTAAGAGTTTGGATACCAAAGGGTTAAAAATACACGTTTTTCTTTTACTGAAGAAAATTTAGATGTTTGCTATGTTTTGTTTGTACAAATGGACATTTAGTAATGTTTTTTTATCTTTTTTTTTTTTTAATGATTCCATGTATTTGCTTATTTCCATCTAGGAATAGTTACTAATGTATTTGAGATACAGCATACCAAATTTTAAAGTAACCAGAATCGTGAGTTAATGGTTTTTAGTCCATACTGTTAAATTTTGTTGAAATATTGACATAATTAAATTGGCTTCATGCTAAAAATTACTAGAAGTGATTGAGAAGGCAGTGTTTTAGAGCAGTAGCTCTTGGTCGAGGAGGTCACATGACAATGGCTTATGCTCAGTAAATGTGCTGCTGCACCTCATGTA